TTGGAGATATTTCTAAAATAAACTTTTTTCCATAAAATTAATATGAGACAACGGTTTAATTTATTTTCTTACATTAGTAAATTTTTACTGTTGACAAAAACCTTAAAATCATTTTTGTTTTTGCTAATTCAGTTTTTTCCTGCAACTTGTGCAATTTGGAGTTCATTTTAAAGTTCTACTCTTCTATGCACCAATATACCTAATTAAACCCGAAACACCTGTTCTCACATACAAGGTAACCCTAAAACCAAGTGCATTATTTTGATACATCAATTTATACGTAGTCTAGTCCTAATAAATTTCAATTCCATTTTCAATTCCATCAATTTCGATTATATTATGCATGGCAATTATAAGTACATACGAATACCACGTTAGAAATTGCGTAAGTAAGTAGTTTAATTTATTATCTCACTGACAGTTCCGAAGCAGCTGGAACTCCAATAGTAGTCTCGCATATTTCTTTCATTTCTATCGGGCGCCCCGCCATGCGCAACATGCCAAACGCATCCACACAAAAACTAAAACAAAACCACCTCAATTCTCATTTTAATAACTAAATATAATAAGAAATGAAAAAATGGTTTAAAGATGATGGCGCCTATTAATTATCCCAAATTCTAATTGATATTTTATTGGCATCGAATGTAATTAATTCACTTTTCAAACTTTTTAATTAATTAATAACATATGCATTAGTCGAGAAAGCAGCGCATAAAAACACATCGAACACTGAAAACGGTCCCGTCGAACATTTTATTTAATGGCTTTGATAGCGAATGCTCAAACGTCGGTCGATATGCAATCGAATTTAATTAGCATTGGGCAAATAGGTAACTCATAAAATAATGCAAAAAACACTTATCTAACATTGCTAAAAACCGCAGCACACATGTTCGTCTATTGTGTGTTCCTACATCACTTTATATGTTTCTATTAATACATTTGTACGAGTATCCCAGTGTGTGTGTATGCAGATTTTATATAAATTTGATTTGATTGATTGATTACATGCTGGGCAATATTTCGGTCGAGATTGCCGCCGAATAAGTCATAAAACCTAAAATTAAGCTATAAAATAATTTTTACAAGCGGCGGCGCGGCGCAGTTTTGCAACTTCTGGTGACTTTTACTTATTTAGTTATTAAGTTGTGAAAATGTCGCGTTAAAGGCGTCGTAAACTCGACGTTTTATCGACGTTTTTTTTTTTGTTGTTGTTGGTCGCTCGGTGGCGATTCAAGTTTTATTGTTTTGCCAAACTCGAAACATCGTATCTAACAGAAAGCGGTTTAAATTTGAAACACGACAGCGGTAACAAATCTAGGTTTAAATTTGCAAAATAGAAGAGTTATTGTTACACATATGGATTTTAAGATGATATAAATTATAATAAGAAATTAACCTCAAACATAAACAAAAAAATTCTTGATTTTGATGTTGCTACGTCAAATGGTAAAAATGGTAAAAATTGTAAAAAAATTAGTTTTTATTTAAGAAATGAAAAGATTATTGATATACGTACATATTTAAAGATCATTTAAATAACAATAATAACTAAACCTTAAATTTACACATAAAGTATACAATTTTGAGGTTATGGAATGAAAAAAAAAAAAATAGTAAAAAAAATAGTTTTTATAATAGTATTGTCATTTATTCTTGGTTTTAACATTTGTACGCACTTTTTTAGGCGTGTACCACTGCATTATGTAATTCCAAACGTGCAAGCCGTGTCCCGCAAACAAAAACCGATCCAGCGATACAAAAACGGCGCCGAGTAGTTCATATAGCCACAGCGCAGCAATGTGCCTGAGAAATGTATTGATTTCTTGAGCGCATTTTTTAGATTTCACGATAAACGCCGCTGACAAAAATCTAGATTATTACACTTCGGCGCGTCGGTCGTGCGCGGGCTTGTCGCAATCGTATAATACGCCGCTAATGCCTAATTTTAATACATATTAATAATTGTTGGCGTCGCCCGCTGGTAGCGTGGTAATGGTAATAATGGGCTTAAGGCACTTTACTAGGTGTTAAAAGTTTTTCAATCGCAGAACTCGTTCGGCGCGTGTATTTCTTAATAGATTTAGCGCGAGCCGTTCATAATCGCATTATGTACTTGGAAAGTACGCGTAATTTTATGTGTGCATATGTGTGTGTGTTGTTCTTGTTTTTCACTTTCCAAATGCCACATTGCTAGCCAAAACAACCATATACCCGTACAATAACCCATATGCGATGGGTGATAATTTGGTGGTTAAAGACAAGAGGTCGTAGATTTAATACGGTGTATGTTAGCCTAGGTCAGAAAAGTCACACAAGCGCGACGATAATTTGTTTTCAAAGGCAGTGGTTATTTATTACAATGTGTTCATACTTTTCAGTCGGTTAGAGAAAAGTGAAAATCAACGATGCGAAACATTCCTCGCGGCCAAGACCTACGAATCTACTACAAATGGGGCAAAATGCTGTCAAATAGCAAATTGTCATGGGCGAATGTGATTTTTTTTTATTATTTTGTAATTATCGTTTTTTTATTAATTAAAACCATATATTTCATGTTTAAAAAAAATTAAACTAGACTAAGTACGGAATTTATTCAATATGAATGTTATAAACCATTAGCGTAGATTATTTTTAATTTATATTCTAGGAAGTTTATCTATTAAGCTGAAAATAATCTATAATTAAAACAACAATTTTCTCCAAATAAATTGTGGATTCCATTACAAAATATGCTAAAATAATTTGCTTGTAAATATAACATTTTCACATGTTCTCACATGAAAAGTGGAACGAAAACCAGTTTGTCAAACGTAAAACATAGTCTTGAAATACAAGCGCATGTGATAATTTCACTCGGTCATAATCATTCGTTAACTAGATTTTCAGTTTCCTTACTCTAGAATTTCTTAGCAAACGACCAACGCAAACCAAATGCAGAGCAAATACTCAACGATAAAACCTTTCATTCTCATTACTTTTGCAAACATAACATTTGAAGGAAAAAAAAAACTGTGCTCAACTTAACTTTCTGCTTCCAGTTTAATCTTTTAACTATCTACATTTGGTAAAAGTGTAATTAAAGTTTTGAATCTTTAAAAAAAATGGCGAACGTTTTAAATTAAAGCGGACGACTTCCTAAACATGCGCAATTTCTCATCCAATGATCAAGTTTTCAAACCGAAATTTGCGTGTTTGTGCATATATGTTGTACTTATGTATTTGGTGTTAATTAAGACTTCTTAGCGCCAGAGCCGAGCGGAAATGAGAATTAAAGCAAACTGAAATGTTTGCGAATTCGTCAAACATTCAAACGAACATTCCGGTCGTAGAATATTCGGCTAGTTATTTACAAATTTGTTAAATCCGCTTTGTAAGTTGATTTATTAATAACTAATTAATATGTATGAGTATATTTAATCATTTAATCATCGCATGTTATTTGACAAATATTTATAAAGTAACTCAGAACTTTTATACAAAATAAATGTCTTCGCGGCAAATTATGCAAAAATTCGTAAATTTTTTTCCAATGTCCTAGTCCTAGACCATCATTACACTTGACATAACACTTTATTCTTGAACTTCATGGTGCGCGGTTGGATGCTACGCATCGCTGAGTTTTCCTTTCTTTCTGAGTCGCGCACTTGCGCCAAGCGTAGCAAGTCAACCGTATAAAGCGTAACATAATCACAGTATCACATAATTTAATCATTACCGATAATACTAATTATAACTGTTTTTCTATTAAGATAAACAAACAAATGATTATGCAATAGCAGAAACAAACATTGCACCACTCACGCCAAAAAATCTGTTACAACTCAGAAACTAATTAGCTAAACCAACTCGTTAGTCGAATGACAGAGCAATATCAAAACGCGCCTTGAAAATCAACAACGCGATCAACGTCATCAACGTCAAGTCGAATCAGTAAGTACGCTTCCTTCCTTTAGAAATGACTTGTATTTTAATTGCATTGCTTAATCAAAATTTTACGTAAAAATGCACGAATGTTATGGCGACACACGGAAAATGAAGAAAGAGTTGAAGTTAATTTCCTTAGATTAAACCGCAACTCATAACAAATGTGTCCAATATGTTCAGTGTTCATATCCAATATGGCTGTCGAACGCAATTCGAAAATAACCCAATAACAACACCTATTACGATCAAGTTCGTGCCGTCATTGGCGTTCCACTCTGGTGTAATTAAAATTTACGCTAAACTTTACGTTGGAAGAAATGTAAATGAACCTTTTACCCGCGCCTTGCGTTTCAAACAAACTCGCAGGAGTCATGTAACATGCAGCCGCGGCAGCGTTTAGGTTTGATTTATGTCCAAATAACGATTTAATTAAACGGCGATAGTATATTAAATTATCGGCAGATAGAAAACAAGAGCGACAATCGTTTTACGTAAGATTAAATGGATTTAAAACTGTTTTCTTTGAATTTAAGGAAAAAATAATTTCCGCCTACTTGGCCCGTAATTTTCGTCCTTGACAAACTTACAATGCCTGATTTTTGACTAGAACAATGTAAAAGTCCAAAAGATAGGTTATAGTATCATAACATAAAGCACGCATGCGCATACACAATCATACCCATGATCTGTCAAAAAATATTCACTTGTTATTGTTCACTTATTGAAACAAGTCTGTTCGTCAAATTAGTAATAACTTTTAATTTCTCCAACATCTCTTCGGCTCCTACATAGGTGTATGTCACCTTTCTCTAAGATAAAATATACGAAAAAATATGTATCGCGGCGATTCCATCCGGCCAGTTCAAGCCGTGGCCGGTATTCGGCGCGTGAAAGCGTCCGATGTTTGCGATAAACAAATTGGCCGAATGTAGTCGTTGTCCACTATCCGAACTGGACCAATTGGCCGGTATAAAAGCACTTGTGCTTCTTTTTAATGTTGCAGTACATAGAGTCGTTCGTAACGCGAACGACGTCGTTTAACCTCTTCGCGGACACACGCATAAGCAAGCATGAAGTTACTGGTACGTATGTGATTTAAAAAAGTGAAATAGTGATGCGGTGCAATAAGTGAGAATCTACAGCATAATTATTTTTAATGATCAATTCTAGGTGCTTTTTGGATTTTTCTCCAGCGCGCTCCTGGCGAGCGCCCTGGAAGATCCGGATTTAATCCGCCATGGCGGAGATGCTAAAGCTTTGGCTTTAGGCTTGCCGCCGTCGGGAGGATATCACTCGCACTCTCATTCGCACTACGCCCATTCGGCGCCGGTGTATCATGCGCCAGCTTATCATAGCTACCATTCCGCACCTGTAGTACACTCAGCCCCGGTTTACCACCAACAACAAGTTGCGGCCCCAGTGCTTAAACTTCACCACCATCCTCAAAGTTATGCCGTCACCAAAGGCTTAAGCGATTTTGGTGGACAACACTATGCGAAACTTGCGCATGTTGCTCATGTTGCCCCAGTGGCTAAAATTGCTACTCCAGTGACTTATGCCGCTGCAACTACTCATTCCGTCTCTTCCGGATATCACTATCCAGCTCCATCGAAACAACTTGCTCTTCCGGTAGCCGTCAAAGAACCTGACAACGGATATCTCCCATCTCTTCCTGGAACCTTTAAATCTTATTCTTCCGGAAATTCTTATGCTCATATCTCTGCTCCGGTTGTTTCTAAGTTGACTTATTCTGCCCCTGCCCCCGCCCCAGTTTACAACTATAAGGTTGCTGTACCAGCACCTGTTGTGAAATATACTCCAGCTCCTGCTCCAGTTGTCAAATACACTGCACCAGTTATTAATTATCATGCTCCCGCGCCAGTGGTCAAGTATGAAGCTCCAGTTATTAAGTACGCCGCTCCTGTAGTGAAATATGAAGCTCCTGTAGTTAAACAAGTATATCAAGCCCCGAGTTATCATCATGATGCCCATGCCAGCAGTCACAGTTATCAGCAATATGCTTCTCATATTTCCCACGTGGCTCCGGCCAAGATTGTTGCTCCGATTGCTCCGGTTCATCACCATGTTCCGGTATATCAACATCATGCTGCTCCGGTGCACCATGTTGCTCCCATCAAGGTTGCTGTCCACTCTGATGATCATCATCACACTCATCATTACGAACATGGCGAGGACCAGAGCAAATATTATGTAAATTAACCTACTTTTTTTAAATACAGGTCAGCATTATAGGTTATATTTTTTATGGATTTTAGGATGCTCATCCACGTTACGCCTTCGAATATGGCGTCGAGGATCATCACACTGGAGACATCAAGAATCAAAAGGAGGAGCGTGATGGCGACAATGTTACCGGTTCGTACTCTCTAGTGGAACCCGATGGCAATGTGCGTACTGTGCATTATCAGGCTGACTGGAAAACGGGCTTCCATGCTCAAGTGACCAACTCCAAGAAGCACTAATCATAGGACGAAAAAGCGCGCTTTCTTCTTAAAACCCGTAGTATTTAATTGATAACTCATAGTTACCAACACGTTATTTTTTCTACAAAGTTACCATTTTAACTATTTTTGTACGCAAATGTTTATTTTTTATTTATAGAAGTTACCCTAGTCTTAAGATAAAACAAAACGAAACATAAGAATACATGTCACCCGATCGTAAAATGTCATTAACCCATAAATGCATGTGATTTGCATATTTCATCGAGTTTTCGACAAATAAAGGCCATAAAATAGTTCTGTAGCTAATGAAATAATAAATCGAGACAAAATAGCAGGCAGGCGCAGTCAGTCAACCTTTTCAATATCCAAGCAAAAGTCCGGTGTGATTGCACAATTTTAAAAATAAAATGTACTCTCGCCGCCGATGTCGGGCGAAATTCGTAATTATTGCCTCGCGTTGCCCAGTGGAAGAGGCGATTCGGTAATTATACACGCTGCTAATCGCCGCGCGCCGAGCTAAATTGTTAATGACCACGAGGCGGCGAAACGATTTGAATAACGCGACACGCACTCATAAATGATCGGACGGTGGATAACATTTGATAAGTGAAAAAAAAAAAAACGATTACATTGATCTATATAAGTGAAAGTTGCGTTCGATCGGAGAGCATAGGTGGCCCCGACATGACAGATACACATGTGTACGGTGCGCGGATAATACGTAATAGATGATAGAAAGTGGTCTAGTTATTGATCTAGAAGTAACAAATATTAGAGTGTTTTTAAGCTGGTGCAAGAGTGAGATTGAATCGCCGAAAACCGACCAGAAGCAGATAAGAACTACTTAAGAAGTTTATTAATTATCACTACTATTGGATTGGAGAATTACCTGTTTACTTTTATAACAAAGCAGAAAAGTAATTTATCTATAGTAAAATAGTATTTTATTAATATTTTAATATTCTACTATATAAAAATAAGTCGGGTTTTCCTTCCTGACGCTATAAATCCAGAACTCACCAACCGATTTCCACGGTTTTGCATTCGTTGGAAAGGTCTCGGGCTCAGCAAGGTTTATAGTAAAGAAAATTGAGGAAAAATTTTAATAGAAAAGAAGTAGGAATGATTGCGCCAAATCAATCGATGCACGATGCATTCATCCAAGAATTAAAACGAGACCTGCAATACAATGTTGATACATTGCAGGATTTCGTTTGAAATAATGTGCCGTCGCTAAAAGAACAGCACTATACTATACTAAAAAGGACATGTTCATGTTTAAAAACCTTTTGATTACCAACCCTTTATAAGTGTCTCAAAATGAGTAGCAAATATGCCCTTCTTCTATAATTTTATAACTTGTGCGGAGATGGTATTTTACGACATGCGTATTAATCGCTTTTTAAAGCTTTTCAAAATGTCTAAAATAAATAATTTATAGGTAAAACATTTTGAATTGATAATAAATATTACAAATTGCTTTAGATTCTTAATTTTTGAAGAATTCTGTATAGGACAAGCATTTTTTTCTAATTCTGTCTCTTGGATAATATAATCACAAATGCAAAATACAAATTGAACCACGTAAGCAAGTTACGATTTTCTGTAAGAAATTCTTTAATAACCAGGGATGTGAAGCCCATCCCTAGCACTCCGAGTGCTGCACACGTATATAGTTTCCTATATACACCGTTTTTTCACTATATAAATAGGTTGGGGTAAGGAGTAGTAGCATTTCATAATTCTGTGCCTTTTCTGTTAGATGTTACCTTGACATGCGCGTATCTCCCTTGTTTTCGAGGCCGCACATTGTATTTTCAACTGAAAACTTCAAAAATTATTAATCATTGGCACTCTTGAACCGAAAGGCTAGGAATGTCGTGTCCAAGAATTTTGAAATTTTACCCAACCAAAACTATAAAAATGAAAAGATATATCATATTGACTATAATAAATAAAAGGGTAAAAATGCCAATTTTAAAATGGATTTTTACTAGGGTTAGCATCATGTGACACAATCCGAATGTATAGAGCGTGGTATAAAGCCTGATGCACCTTGATTATAACTCAGCTATTCAATCTAAAAAAAGAACAAACCTCCTGAAGAGAAGTATTGACAGTTATAAGATTGGTAAAATAATTGATGTTTTGCAGAGTCTCATCAACTATCATAGGTATTTGCATAAGAATCCTGTACTGCTCTACATGACTTATATGGCATTTTCAAGATGTCAACACAGTCATTGCATATAAAAACAAAATATCTTTTTAACAAGAATTAGAACAAAGAATGTTATTTATAAATTTATAAAAAGACATGTCAACAATATTACATACATGTTTAAAAACAACTGAAGACTAATAAAATAATGAATTTTAATTCAACCATGAACTCTTTGGCATATATCCCTTTTCCCAAAATATTCACATACTGGACACTCATATTTACTATCAGCCACTTGATTACCCCTCAAACAAGAATAACAGAACACATGACTGCATCCCATGTGACATGGTACAATTGGTGGTTCCTCACAATGTGCACAAACAGTCTCACTTGTAATTACTCTCTTTAGATGCCTTTCAACTTCAGGCTTCTTGTGTAGAGGATTAACATTTCTCACAATCCGTGATATTTTATGATAATTAATTAAAGGCAACAAATAAACTAAAATTTCAATGAAACCATTCCATATCAACTCCCTGGTCATGTACTTATCCTCATAGTGTCTGACTGCATTGTCTGTACTGTACACTTGTTCCAAACCAAGAAATCTCTCAATTAAATGAGGTTTGCTTCCATATTGTAAAAACATTGAAATGTTGCAGAATCTTAACATTTGCACAAACATATTTGCTTTGTGGAAGTAGTAATTAAAACCAGAATCAGGCTTTGATAGCTCCAACCTTTCTCTTAAATAATCAAAGCTGTGTGCAACTAAATACCACATCTTTTTGTAGTAAGTCATGTTGGAATATTTAATTGACAACATTTTCTGACCAAAGGTGCAATTGTGCTGCAGCACAGAATAGTGTAGAATACAGATGTGCAGTAACATGTTGATTTCTGGATCACATTTAGAAACAAATTCAGGCTGTAAATGATATATTGTTATTAGAAGGACCAAAGTACACAAGGGTTAAAAGATGATTACTGGCAGAAATTTGAAGAAATTGTTTAGATGTTGCTTGAAGATGTTGAATATTTCTTTGTCAAAGTAAACAGCGTTCATCTGCGTTACGCGAAGCAATTTGTTATTCATTTTGCTTGTATTTTAATTTATTTTTCAACAAAAAAAGTTTACTACAGAACCAAACAGTACGAATTTGTTTGAAATGTGAGGTTACGCACTTATAATGTCTCCTTGACATGTTACAAGACAGTAAAACAAAGTTTCAAAAAATTAGAGATTTCAGGATCATTTTAATGTAATTCTTTAAGTAAAGTTTAATGTTCAAAAATAAGTATAGATAAGAATTGCAAATTAATATTTAAATTAACTTTCATCTGATTGGCTGCAGGTTCTTGAACTCCGGCAACGATTGGCTGTTGGATTGCTGAATGTGCAACGTGTGGGTTCTTAGCGCAATATACTTGGCATCATCGCAAATTCCAAGTGCACTCAGTGCAAATGCCAAACGTCAAAATAAAGAGCCCAGAGTAAACTCGTAAAAGATTTGCATCTAATGAAAATGGTGAAATAAAGATAACCCAATAGCACTTGCTAGTTACAACATTTGTGTCACCTGCATTACTCATAAATCCTGCAATCAATGTAAGTTTCGTTTCAATATACAAATAATAACTATGGATGAAAAATAAACAGGATTTTATTTTATATTGTAGATGTCTGGGCCACCACCAGCAGATTGGCAGACATCATGTAAGAGCATAAAGAATAGAGGAGAGTATCTCCTCGAGTCAGGTCTATGGAGTGATTGCAAATTCATTGTTGGCATGGAGCCAAATCAGCAAGTGATTGAGTGTCACAAACTCTTTCTTGCAATGGCCAGTCCTGTGTTTCAGGCAATGTTTTATGGTGGAATGCCTGAGAAGAATCCCATCACAATCCTTGATGTACAACCAGAAGCATTTAAGGCATTACTTGAGTATGTTTATTTCAAAACAAAGGTTAAGCATTGTGCTACAATTTATTTAATTTATTTACAGATATATTTACACAGACAAAATAAATTTGACATCATTTGACCAGGCTTGTGAATTATGTTATGGTGCTAAGAAGTACATGCTTCCTCACTTGGTTGAAGAATGTACAAAATATTTATGGTCAGATCTGAAGCCAAAGAATGCATGCAGGGCATATGAATTTGCGAAACTTTTTGAAGAGCCTAAGTTAATGGACAAGTGTTTGCTGGTAATTTATGATATTTTTACTGAAGCAATTCATTATAAGTACAAAGCCTTAATATAAGGCACAATAAAATGTTGGGGCTTAAAGAGTTATATTGAGTTATACATAAATTTCAGATAATAAAAAATGAGACAGAGGAAGTGCTTAAAGATGCCAGTTTTGAGGATGTTGAGACTGGTACAATTCTGACAATGCTGGATCAAGAATATTTGACAATTAGTTCCGAGCTGGAATTGTTCCAGGCGCTGACACGGCTTGCCGCCAAGCAGAATAGCAATAGTTCAGGTGCGAATGCGAAAGTACCTCGGCTTGATGGTATAGGTAATATCGTGCTGTATTACTTACTACATACATATATACAAATATGCATATATAAAGTTTCAAAGTTTTTTTTTACTAAAAATTTACTTGGTTTAGTATTTTCTTGGTGTTTATGCAGCATATGTTTGTTTAGAGAGTTTTTTGTATGTTGAACAATCGTGGTGTTTTTATTGATTGATGATTGGGTTTATTTAATGCTATTATTGTATCATTTATTCTGCTGGAACAAGGAGTATAATTTATTGAGGGTTTTAGGTGCATTTGTGGGTGCTGGTGCCCCCAGTAACGAACCAACAAGCCCACCAGGTAGCAGTCGATCGCCAAGCATTCGCGACTGCTTGATGAAGATCCGCTTTTTGACGTTAACACCCCAGCAGTTTGCTGAAGGTCCTGCGGTCTCGAATCTACTCACACAGAGTGAAAAATTTGCAATATTGATGAATATTTCATCGCCGTCAACGGACGTTGGGATGCCTCCAGGCTTCTCAAAATCGGTCGCACAACGAAGATTTCTAGATGATGAGGTACACTACAATATAGGCAACCAACGAATATCTATATGTACTTTTGTTTATATTTTTTTAAAGGATATGGAGCGTGATAGGTATGGTACGAATTATCTACGAGGTGCTTCATCATCTACAAACAACGTTGAGTCGATGGAATTCCCACAAAAACACTACTGTATTCGCAAACTGCTCCGTCAGACAGAATTGATGAACTCCAGCGTACTGGATTGCACACTGACGTTTCAATGCGATCGTAATGTCTGTGTGTACGGTATTCAGGTACCCGCACAAATTAAACTCGAAGATGATTCAGGGACAGATGATCCCTATCCATACACGAATTACACCGAGTTATTGTACGCTCATCTGTTGGACTCGGACGGCGCGAGACTCACATATACGCACTTCACCAGCCGCGTAGGCTACTACTCTCTGATGGATATTAGTTTCAATCGACCTATATTTATTCAAAAAAATAAGGTATGGCAAATTATGATAATATTAATGCTGTTCAGCATGGCTTTCATAAATGCTTTGGTTTCAGACGTACAAAATAGGTGTAGTTCTGAATAAAACTGGTTGGTATCCGATGGGAACATATCCGCCACATACGGCCGTCAATGGAGTGGTATTCACATTTGGGCCACAGCATCTCATTCATCAGGCACATCATATTGCCGACTCGAGGGATGGTCTCGTTCGGTCCATCATGTTCTCGTGCAATTCAGCTGACAACAACGGGTCGTTTAAGGACAACATGGCCATGTAGAAATTTTTGTGTTTGGTGCTCGTCAAGAGGTTCTATTTATTTCGTTTTTGTTGTGAGTCGACCATCGGCATTTTTTACTTAGAAAGCGTTTTTTATTTGTTACATTGTGTATATATAGTTTGAAGATGTATGTGTAATATAAGACTACTAACAACGTTGGTTTTTATTGAATTAACGTAATTATTTATGTTTATTTCCATTTAAAACAAATATTGTGTTGTGTTACTCATTTTATTATTTGTGACTGGGAGACAGTTGAAAATGCAAACTAGCCGAAACATGTCATAACTAATTAAATAAGTAACATATTTGTAAAAATGGAAATAAACTAACTACTTTATTGAAATTGCAGTAGAAATTATGTGGTCTATTTACAGATTCGTGGCATTTATACACCGCGATGTAAGACGCAATTGCAGCAGTTCATGGCGACTATGTATACTGTTGCCATAGCAATCCAAATAGTTAAAAATTAGGTTAGGCAAAGAGAGCAGAGCCATTTTTAAATCTCGTGCTTCTTCGTACGTCAGTTGTCAGTTTCACTCTATCTCTGTTTAATCAATGCGGCTGTTGTATCCCCACTCTAGTGCATTCACTGACCTCGTGGTTGCGACGTTGCCAAGTGGATTTGTTTATGTTTACGCCGTGCTCACCTTACAATTTACCACCTCGACGAAACAAGTGAAGAATTAACCAAAAACGGCATAAACAATAGTCCATAAAAGTGCTAGCGCATACAAGTGTCCGTGATTATCGTTTCTCGATTAACCACACGAATTGTACTAGGTCAGTGTGCGTTTGCATTAATCACCGCCAACGGTGGGCAATGATCAGCTGAAAATCGCGGACACAACATGGCGATTTGCGTCTGACTCTGGTCTGATTACACTGGTCATCGTTTTGTAATTCGTGTTTTCCTTTTCAGCGCCAAGTGCAACACTTAAACATCGCAAACAGTGCAATCGTGATAAATTGTTGTCAAGATCATCAATATGCCGAAGCGACCACCTAAAGGAAGCAAGAAAGCGTCGAGCAAGCCTAGCAAAACAAACAAGAGCAATGGTAAGTGATTAGTGATACAGGTATTATGACATTACTAACCTGCGCCAGATTTACACTATGAATATCCAAGTCAAATTGCAATTAGTCGCGTTTGAGCTTTTGCTGCTAATTGTAACGACCTTGAACAATAACAGCGCATCGATATTGCAAATACATACCATGCACTTGAATAATAAAATAAGGTAACACTTGCTATCAAGCTGCATAAAATTGTGTAGAGATCAATGCAAACCAGACATGTTTGCAGAAGGCACTTTATTGAGGACTACCTTTTGAAAAACAAGGTTGTTTTTACGTTGTATTCACATGAGTTATGTTGTGTAACTTGAAGCAGGTATGTGGTGATGAAATGTGAAGCATTTATCACTGGGTAATGAGGGTTGAAGTGTATACAGATACAGATAATGCAATGCATTGTAATCAAATGTTAAACCAATCATGCAGTAAGCAATATGAACTCATTTATTGCAAGTTTATCAGTGTTTACACTACTATTTAGTAAGACAAGACTACAACTTAATATTTGTCTAACAATTATTGATAACGTGCCAAAAATGTTAATTAAGTATTGAATAATGCCAAATATCTACCAGGTGCAGTTGTTTTGTGATCCAGTTTGTGATATGGGGGACACGTTTATTTTAAAATTACCGCTGTTTTTTATCATAATTTATGCAATCTATTTTAAACAAACGCATTTTCTACATTTGTTGATATATAGCACTGACAGGGTACACACCCCAACTAAATTTTAGCACGAATTGATGGATAAGTCTAGCTAAATTCGTGATTTTACGCGACCGTTATCGTTCTGATGTCGAGAGGAAAATTTTCCTATAGAAAGTGGGGAGTTCTTATTTGATCCATACAGTGCCATCTGCCGGGAGAGACTAATACTATAATGGACTAAAACAAACGACAATCGCAAATTCAAACATTTCATTTCATTATTCAGATTATTTCGAGTTTTGTAAAAACAAACTCACTAAAACGTAATGAAATAGTAAACAAGTACCTCCTATTACAACTATAATCATGTTGTAGCGTTTTTAAAACTTGAAATATTTATTTATTACAATTTTAACTACAAAGTTACACAATTTTATTTTCTTCGCAGAATACGTATTCCAATGTTAATATAATACTTATTTAAATTTTACGTGATAGAATTACAATATTATTTTAGAACACAAATAAAATTGTAATTCTATCACTTAAAATTTAAATAAATATTAAAGTTATTCCAGTTACTCTTAAACTATTTCTAATCCCAACTCAGCTTTGCTTAAAGTAGTTTAATCTAAATAATGTGATGATACTTTTCAGTATAATATATGTAATTTATTTACAAATGGCGTACATGTCCAAGTTAGTGTTAACTGGATGTTAATCACTCTAATGGGACTCTCATTGTTTACGGAGTACATACTCGACACTTCTACATAATTGTTCAACAACTAAGCACGATCATGATGCATGATTGCGCCGCGGTGGATTTATATCAGATTTTAAAGCATTATCGTTCAATTGGGTAATTTTGGATCGAGTATTAATAATTAAGAGATTATACTCATGTCGTTAACATTTATTGAGTGTTGATCGCGTTTGTTTCGTCTTCATTTACATACAAAGTAGTGCATTTTGGCAGCAAAAAACTGTTGTTATATTCTGTTGTTATTCACTTTTACTAAGGATTTTATAATTAAGATTGGTGACAAATTTGTTTCTGATTTTATTGAAGAAATTCAAATTCTCGAAAATAAAATCCGAGTCACCTTGTCGTTTGCTCGTGGGTCGATTAATTTGATTCTTTAATTGCTCATATTTTTTTGTTAATTTTACTGCTGATTCGTATTTTGTTGCTTATAGTTTACATTTAATGAATGCGTTGGAGTTTCGTGCGGTCTGATTGTTCGCTTTTACACACAAAATTCAGTTGCTTGTCAACAAAGTCTCGAATTTATCAATATATTTATTTATCACTTCTGATCCATTTCTGCAGAATTACAATATTTCGTTGGTACTTACTTCAAATGAAAAAATCTGTTGGTACGTACCTATATAGTATTAAATAAAATTATTAACTCAAGATTTTTGCGCCGTTTTTATCGATCAACAGATTGAAGGTAGCAGAGAGGAAGGTTTATATCTATTTATGATATATGCATATTACAGTACAGAAAACAACTAAGAATTTCAATGATTTGTATTGTTTATTCAATCAATTACATTACATATGCTGCGCGTTTACTATAGTTTAAAATTGCTCTGTTCAGAGTATCATCAAAATTTGTATCTTAGAGGATATCAGGTATTTCATATACGAGAGCAGAGATACCATGTAGGGATTATTGCCGGTATAATACAATTACTAATTACACTTATCTACTTATAATTTAATGCATCCCTTAATCTAAGCTGCACTGCGAAATCAAATAAAGTTTGATTATCGGGAGTTAAATCCTGAAAACTTTGATAAGATTCCAATGTTCTTTAATTTTACTAGTGTAATTGGTAGTTATTGTGAGTTCTAATCACAATTTACGGTTCAATCTAATGTCGCCGAGATCCTGTGGTCGAAGTTTCCAATATTCTTTTCTTTACTGCGCGTTAATGATGTTTTATGGTGCGACGTTTATTGTAATTAACTAAGCGTTAACCATCTTAACACGCCGCAAATTTGAGATGTTACATAATATAAAAGGATTTCAGCATTTTTCAGTCGCATATCGCGAGATGAGCTCAAAATCCAGACCGCTGTGAGTGGATTTGTCGATGGATGATAATTACCACGAATTAACACCAATAGCGCCAAGAAGGATGTGTAATATACAGAGTAAACAAATTTACAAAGCAGAAATATATATTTTTTCATAAAAATATAGTTTCAATTTATAATAAGTTGACTAACTGAATATTAAAGAAGAAATAGTTTTTAGTCTAAATTTCTAAAATTTGTGCCATTCTAGTAATGCAAGTATTCTCTTTTCACGAACCCATTGTATAAAGTATGCATGCACATAGGTTAAATATGTTTGTGTTATAATTTTGCGTTGTTATGAAATTGAATTATCTGCGCGCTAATGAACGCGAAGTAATCAAACTCAACCAACTAGCGAATAAAACGTACAAATTCATGGCATGACTAGCAAAATCATGACTTGTAGATAAACCAACTTCGTCCTTGTAGTTTCGATTCTTTTATGCAGTTTTTACTGATAAATGCTCTACGCCGGCGCTAAAGACTAATTGCACATATAATTGTCGCTCGAGCGCGCAATAATTACAGAAGCGCTCGATGTAATATCGATGCAGTTATCGGCCGCTATTTGTTTGGATTTCGGTTGACTTTGTGTATTAACGCACAATGGCTCGCTTAAATGTTGTTCAAACATTCGTAGCGCGCACGCATCGCGGTCACGCACGCCGCACGTGAACCTCTCTCATTATGAAATAAATCTAGTGAGCACATCCCGCACGTTTCGCTGGCCAGTGACCAATCATCACCGTGATTTCGGTTTCAATTTGTTTCTTGGCTTGCTGGGAAGATTGAGCAGATTCCTACATCGAACCAGTTTGAGAGACAGAAATTAAATGTCTGGTAATTATGAACATTATTTTATTGCATAGGATTACTAATTTAATTGAAAAAGTGTTGGGGTGATTTCTTTATGTTCAATTCACGTTTCTTGTTTGCGTTATTTCTGTTTTTAAAAAAATACAGGATGTTCGAGCAATTTTTGTGATAGGCAAGACCTTACTTATTTTTATGTTGTAGTCTACGGTTTAGTCTTTTTTGTGAATCTTTTTTTACGCTGTAATAATATCTTTTTTATTATGATTTATTATTTTATTTCAAATTTTATGAGTTGCTACGATTGCTATTCCAAAACTTTATGCAGAATAGCGCACACGGCGTGCTCTTTTATCAAGCAAATTATTGAAGATGCTTTTCTAGCGTGTGCCGTACTCTGCGCTATGATTACCCGCGGATTTTTTAATTGATTGATATTAATTTTAAATTAAAAAAAAAACTTGGCAACTTTTAGAATGCTGTTACATTTTGAACAGTGGAACATATGGCACTGTTTCTTATTAAGATGCTTATAAAATTTATTCCCTTAGAACTACATACAATAAGATTTTTCTTAACGTGATTATTGAAATATGAGCTTGCCAAGTAACCCACCGAGTTAATTTATACAGGAACCAAACATTTGTATCTCTGAAGTAACGTTAACATAAAATTAAAAATTTACATAAATTACAACAATAATTTGTTGCTTAGGTTGTTTCCACGGTGAATTTCCACTGGACCCAATAGAAGGAATAGTTTAACAATTAATACCCAAATTATAGGGTGGAACGATTTGGATAATGTAGCCTCTCAAATGACACGCTTTCACAGTGTGCATGTTTCATGCCGATAACGCATGATACGCAACGAGAGCGATATATTTTCGAGTTCTGTTGATAACAACAACGTAATACTTGTTTATATCTTGATTGATAGTAAGTTCGATTAGTTTGAGTTTATCTTTATCTATAAGTGATCGCTTGATAACTGACGTGTCAACGAATTGTCGAGAATTAAACAAACCAATTATCTTTTGAGAGTATTATACTATTATGAAAACGTTCGAGATTTATACAATGAGCCATTTATGTTTCATTCATTTTTTTCGGCATAGATATTACTTGATAAGATTTTATACATGCAGCTGATCGTCGACGTAATTAATTAATAAATTGATTGTGAATACTATCTGAAACTATCATGTTATCGGGTTCTGCGGACCAAGATTTGTTATGGCGATTATTTATTAATTATTGTAAACTTCATTAATCTTTGTTAGGGATTAGTTTTTCCAAAGTATGGGGAAAGCCGTATCCTTGTCTATGTTGATGGTTAGTAGCTAAGTTGCTGTTTGCTAGGTGCGCTTAGTATTTAGGAAGTTTGAAGTCGTCCCTCGCCACATAACGAATTTTTAAGTCTTACCCACATGATCTTGATTGATTTTATAAATTGTGTAAGGAAAATAGGATTTTATGAAATAGAATACATAGGATTCGAGTACCTACATGACGTAATGGAGAGGTATTGTTTTTTTAAATTAAAAATAGAGGGAATTTAAATTAACATACCTACATCAAACGAGTATATTAATTGCTACACTTGATCAATTCATCTATTTTTTTGTTAATCCTACTTGAATTCGTTAAGTATATACTTTTGCGCAATAACATAATATTTACGCAGTTAGGTGTAGAATTTAATTTAGAATCCAATTTAAGCATGAATCACGATCTTAGAACAAATGGATTTAGAGTAAATCATTAATAACTACAACAATGGAAGTATTATTTTTGCATCCTGATAATGCACGTCGATTATAGTTCGATTGTGATGCCTGTGCGTTTGATCCTAAATATTGAATACAATTATGTACAGATTTTATTGATAACAATGTCTTCTGAAGTGTTTTGAATCGAGTTGTAAATATTTTGCAAAATGTGTACAGAAAATCAATTTATATATTTATTTGTTTATAACTTATTATAGAATACTACATTCGGTAAAATCATTACGTAATTGGTTATAAAGTTTCAATTAGAAATGACTTCTGAATGAATTGCAATCGTAGAGCAAATAGTTTGCGAATATTGAATTAAATTATTAACCATATGTAACCAGCGATCTGTCCCGCATTGCAGCTATAATATAATATGATTGAGTTTGTTAAATAACACTTCAACATTTACATGTCGATTAAATATTATGAGCGCGGCAATAATTTATTTTTGCTAAATGTTTATATTACGATGCA